TTTAAAATAGATAAAATTATTAAATGCAATGGCTATATTGAGTTGTAAGACGTCTCTTAAGTTCAGATTCTACTGACTGAAAGGCAAAAGCTTTTAATCTTTTGCGTGAAGAATGAGTCATATTGAGCTGAAGATTAAGAAAATTATTTTCATAAAAGTAACGTTAATGGTATAATGGGGTCACTGTGACGAAAAACAATTGCATATAATTTACAGCTACTTACAAATAACTCGATGATCTTTTCTTCTGTCACACTGAAAACTGTTACTCGAAAGGTACTGAAGATATTAGCGCCATATAGTGGATAGTTTAGGAATTATCACAAAAATAAAATTAGTTATTAGTTAAAATGGGGTCCCAGTACAATGGGATCCCCAGGGACCCCATTTTAACTAATAACTAATTTTATTTTTGTGATAATTCCTAAACTATCCACTATATGGCGTTAATATCTTCAGTACCTTTCGAGTAACAGTTTTCAGAGTGACAAGATCATCGAGTTATTTGTAAGTAGCTGTAAATTATATGCAATTGTTTTTCGTCTAGAGTCACAGTGACCCCATTATACCATTAATGTTACTTTTATGAAAATAATTTTCTTAATCTTCAGCTCAATATGACTCATTCTTCACGCAAAAGATTAAAAGCTTTTGCCTTTCAGTCAGTAGAATCTGAACTTAAGAGACGTCTTACAACTCAATATAGCCATTGCATTTAATAATTTTATCTATTTTAAAAATTGAAGAAACTGAAAGATCTAAAATTATTTTGCCATCCAGAGTAAGATATAATAAATATCCTAAAAGTAAAAATATGAAGTCCAAAGAAATATATGTTAGATGTAATGAATCAGTATGCACCAAATGTGCAAGCACTATCTGTAACGATTGCATCTAAAAACCTTTTAAGATTTTAATATTGTATTTAATTTAATAATATTTGTTTATATTTTTTATATAATCTATAATTTGTGGACTTAGATTGAAACATAAATTTTTTTCTTTTTCCGATTATTTGTCTTTCAGTGTATTTTATTTCAACACTGTCCACATTGTGTTTATTTTATAATCAATTAACGTTTTCTTTTAGATTACTGAAAAACTGCGACTGTTATTATATATGTCTAGTTATAATATAATATTTGTAAAGTATTACTTTCGAACTATAAAGCGTTTTTCTTTCTACCTTACATTATCATGTTAAAAATGGCAAAAATTTATTGGGGTCCGCCGGACCTCACTGTACCTGTAGCTTGACTAAAAAGGCACCGTACCTGTTACGGGTTAAAATGATAAAATACTTTTGTCGCGCGTGGAAAGCTCAAATTCAAGATCAAGCAACTTTTTTGCTTTTTAATATTTTATTATAAAGTCTGTACATTAGAAAACGAAAAACAAAACAATGGCGAAACAGCAGCCGTTTCCGTGAAAACTCTCTTCTTGTCATGGCAAATCTAATAACTTCTCGTAAATATTTCTAAACGAAAAAAGGGAAAATATATTCTTAATCTGCAAATTCCTTATGTGTTGTCATTTTTTAAATAATTTTCCAAATCAAAGAGTTATTTTAAAAAATGTCATTAAAAAAGCATTCTTCTGTAAAATAAACTTTGGCAGGCTTATAATTTTTGGAAAGAAAAAAGTCGATTATAATACCACAGAATTTTATTTTGTTTTCCGTTTTCTAATTTACACAACATTTTTATTATAATATAAATATAAACCTATACTAAACTTCATAATAAAATATTTAAAAGTAAAAAGTTACATGGTTTTGGATTTAAGTTTTCCACGCATCATGAAAACTAAAGTTCTATCTAGTGTCTGAGTGGCAAAAAAACGCACAAATGTTTTGTAGATTGTAAAGAGAACTTCTCAGCTAAGCTAATAGGTTAAGTAGAATCAAAAGCAGTTGATGTAGGTTTCAAAGTATCAAAATAGATATTAAATGAAACATTAAGGTCGAGAGTAGAGTCAAATTTCGACTTGGATGGTTACTCCAAGTTGCTCTGCGAGCTTCTGTAATGTTTGGGCAGAGTTTCCACCTAGTAGCTGTTGCAATTCCTCGTCTTTGAATTTTAGAGGTACACCGATGGATTTTTAAAGTTGTTGGCCTTTAAGATCAAAGTCTCCTTCACAAAATCTCTTTTATCATTTCCTGCATGTTTTACAAGACCCTGCATCTTCATCCAGAACAGAACGAGTCATTTCACTTGCTTCAGCGGCGTTCTTATTTTGTGCGAAAAGAATGCAGCGTCGAATATCTTCCTTTATGAATGCTTTTGTGTCTACTGCTGTTTTGCGAGATTAATTCCGACGTTTCAAAGAGGTTAACGTCGACACTTGAAAACAGCATAAGGGTGGTAAAATTTTGAAATTCAAAATGGTGTTATGACTAGGTCGATGTAAGGGCACTGGATTTATACACCTAAAACATTGCGCCCGACGGAAAGTTATAGTACGTAGCAATCGCTGCAACGCGAGTGCATACTGTGCATTCATGGAATGTCCGCGCTAAAGCACCGATGAGAAACAGGAGTCAAGAATCACGAGCACGCGTCTAATTGCGTCGTAAAGCTGCGGTTCCGCTGTACGCGCGCGCGCGCGCTTTGAAGGAAACGCCGCCGGAACTTCTCGTCGAAATAATTAAGATCGGTAAATTCTTGCTAGACACGCGTGATGCGCCGAAAACGATCGCGCACGGACTTTCTCGCCGTTGGCAGCGATAAATATTCCAGCCGGGCGAAATTGCCAACCTCGTCAATTTGTGTGTGTGTGTGTGTGTGTGTGTGTGTGTGTGTGTGTGTGTGCCCCTATACGTACACATGTATCTCGTCGCTGCGCATAAAAGCGGTTAAAGATAGAAACTTAATTCCACGCGACGTCCACGCAACACTGACGCGATTAAGACCCCGCGCGAGAAATAATAACGCGAGATGCGTGCCGAAAGAGCGCAGCGAATCCCGGGAAAGAGTCCACAACTGTGACACGCCGTCGTCGTCGTCGTCGCCGTGGCCACGCGGGGCGAAGCGAAACATTCGCGAAGAAAGGGTGCAGGCAGAAATATAATGGAGCGCTTAAGGGGATGCTGAAGCTGAAAACTTTACCGACAGAACACTGACATTTTTCTGCAGTTTACGTCGTATTTGGTTATATAGAATTACAAATGCTTTTACGCAATGAAAGTTCGTGCAAAAATAAATAGGAGCATTGCTCGATATGTGACGAAAACAAATAAAAAATTTTTAATGTAAAATCTCAAGCTGCCAGTTGGTGTAATATTTGTCTAATCCAAAAGTTTCGCAGCTTGTACATACTGAAAGTGTGGATGCTCCAAACAAAAGAATTTTGAAGAACATGGCTCTACTCTCGCATCTGCATTTGAAAACTTAAGAATATCGAAAAAGTTTGCAGAAAAATTTCTACATGTATATGGTTAAGTTTTCCGTTGAATGTGGTAAAACAAAGCAACACACATTCATATAAGTTCTATATATACAAGAAATACGAAAAGGATGGCGTGATTATGACAGTCGTCTCTGCATTATCGACATTGTTCGAGTTCGTCATCGACTCCAGCATCCTCTAAAGGGAATGCTGAAGCTAGAAACTTTACCGACAGAATACTGACATTTTTCTGCAAAGTTTACGTCGTTATATAGAACTACAAATTGAATTGGTTGTATAGAACTACAAATGACAGCAAATGACGAGCAAAAATGTATCTAGTAGAGCAGATTTCAAGACTAGTAGCTAGATAGTAATGACTAGATAAGTTTTCTAGCCAGTCACTAGCTCGTGACTGGCTAAATATTCCTACTCAATCTTTTGAATGTCAGGACTATCTAGTGACTGTACCAATTACATAGATAGTGGCTAGATAAAAAAGATTACCCAAGTAGGAATCGTATACGTTTCGCCAAATACGGAAAAATGGCCCGATACTAGGTCGATACCGAAAAGCGAATGTCCGGTTTTGGTATTGGCTCAATATTGGGCCTAATATCAAAAAGCTGTATTATTGGTATTGGCTCCGTACTAAGGTTAGGTACTGGATAGTCGTACCGTACGTGTATTGGGGTGTTACCGAAAAGTGTTTGTCGTTTGTCGGTACTGGCCCGATATTAAAAAAAACTGTATTATTGATACTGGCCCTCTTCGTAGAATCAGTATTGGATATCCAAGTAAGAACCGTACACAATTTGCCAATAGAGGATAATTGGCCAGTATTGTGCCGATACCGAAAAACGGACGATACACTGAGAGAAAAGACTGGTAACTATAACAAACTGCATTTAGTTACAGAAATTCGTTGAATCCTTAGTAACTAATACTAAATATGATAATAATTACCAAATATTTAATAGATCGGGAGTATGACGTAATTGCATTCACAGTAACCTCAATTAAATAATTTAGTAATAGTTACTTAATATTAAATATTTAATATGAAATATATTATAGTTATAAACAGATATTTAATAATTGTTATGAAATTCTTATATCCAATGTAATAAAAGATTCAGTAGGTACGAGTTCTATTTTGTTACCAGTATAAGTATGTTTTGTTGCAGCACAACGAAAAATTCATTCATTTGCAGCTATTACATCGTTTCAATATCTATTATTACAGATGGTTGGTTGAACCTACCAAAAATTTTGTAACTATTACAAAATCGCTTATTTTGCTCAACTATTCAATAAGTTTTATTTACCAAATATATTCTGGAAGCAAATAAATTTTACTTCTGTCAAATAAATAATTTATTTTACAGAACTAAATTAATTAATAAGTATTGCCATAGCTTTGGCCCGCTATATTTACGTCTACCATTTAATAATAGTAACCAAATTTTGAAAATATTTATTAAATTCTTCTCTCAGTGTACCAATGTCCTTTATGGGAAAACAGAAGAGGTCACTAAACCTAGATAGCTCAGTGGTAAGAACGCTTGCCTGACAACCGGAAGACACGAGTTCGATTTCAGCCGTCGCCCTGAAGATTTTTCCTCATATGACTATTAAAAATAGACATGTATAGTATACAAACGAGAGCAGCGCCTAGCCATAGTCTGATCTTTCTTTCCATACTATATAGTTGTGATATTAACGATTACAAATAGTAAAAATTACTAGGAACCGATACTGGCCCAGTACTGGGAATAAGTACTTCTCCAGTGTTAGGAATCAATATTTTTTTATACTGATACAGTACTGATTTTCGGTACTGTGACAGTACTGTTTTCCGATACTGATCCTTTTCTATCATCCCAGTATCACACCAATACTAAATCCGTACTGGCATCTGGTACTATGCTAGTAATAATCATAAATCGGTACTGGGCCACTTTGATGCCAGTAGTAAATTCGTACTTGGGTACACAGTAACGAGATAGAAAATCATCGGTAAATTCTAAATAGAAACTGGATATCAGAACTGTCCAGTAACTATACCAATTATAGTTACAAGTTATTTTTTTTTTGTATCTAGCTACTAGATAATTTTTCTGGTACAGCCACTATGATGAAGTGAGCGTTACATTCCTAGCTAATAGCGATGTAAGGCCCAACTTTTCTTTTTCTTTTCATTACTAGACAATCACTAGATTCAATTTTTGCTTGGGTGCTTTTACACAATGAAAGTACATGCAGAAATAAATAGAAGCATTGTTCAATATGTGACGAAAACGAAAAAAAAATTTTAAATATAAAAACTCGAGCTGTCAGTTAACGTAATATTTGCCTAATCCAAAAATTTCGAAGCTTGTACATACCGAAAGTGTATGTGGATGCTTCAAGCAGAAAAATTTTTAAGGACATTGTTGTCCTTAAAAACCTTCGCAACTGAATTCAGAAACTCCAAAGTTTGCAGAAAGATTTTTACTTATGTATAGTTAAGTTTTCCGCTAATTATGGTAAAACAAAGCAATAGATATTTACATAAGTTCTGTATACATAAGAAATACGAAAAGGAAAACAGGATTATGTTAATCATAATCATGTCTGGGTAATCGACATTGTTCGAGTTCGTCGACTTCAGCATCCCTTTAAGAGAGACTGAAAACTTTATCGACAGAATACTGAAATTTTTCTGCAAAATTTACGTCGTATTGATTGTACAAAATTACAAATGCTTTTATACAATGAAAATACGTACAAAAATAAATAGAAGCATTGCTCAATATATGACGAAAAGGAAGAAATTTTAAAATGTAAAATCTCAAGTTGTCAATTAGAGTAATATTTGTCTAATCCAAAACAGCAATGTTTATCAAGATTTTTATTTTAGAGCATCCACACTTTCTATATATACAAGCTACGCAATTTTTAGATTAAGCAAATATTATATTGACTGACAGCTTGAGATTTTACATTTAAAAAGGTTTTCTTCGTTTTCGTCACACATCGAGCAATGTTCCTATTTATTTGTGCACGTACTTTCATTGCGTAAAAGCATTGGCAATTCTGTATAACCAATACGATGTAAACTTTGCAGAAAAATGTATGCTGTCAATATGCTGTCGGTAAAGTTTTCAGCATATCGGAAATAAGAATATCGGAAAAGTTTGCAGAAAGATTTCTACACATGCGTGGTTTTCCACTAAATATGATAACAAAGCAATATACATTACGTAAGTTCTATATGCATAAGAAATACGAAAAGGAAAACGTGTTGACGTTTTTACGTTATCAACTTTTATTGTTCAAATTCGTCATCGACTTCAGCATCCCCTTAACTAAATGTGATCCAACTTCGTGAACTAAATATAATTTCTTTTCTTATAGAATAAACTCGGGCATGATGACGAAAAAAATAGCTTTAATAGTACGTTTTGCTATTTGAATGCATACACATAAACTACTATAAATATCGATTATCTTTGAAAATGACTTTGAAGCGCACTATTTCAGAAATTATTGCAGAAATTACAGCGTATGATCTTTTCCATACGGCTATCATATCCAAGTTTATCCTGCTATTTTGCCAAAATAGGTCTCAAGCTTTTTGCACAGAAATTGCTGTTTTGATGCGCGATCGGTTGTTGTGTGCACGTCGTGAGAAAGACATCCGAGAACACGTGCGCGAGATCCACCGTGTGATACAGCGGGTATTTACATACCTGAAGGGCCCATAACGGCCAATAATTCGCCCGGCTTGACGACCCCCGAGACATCTCGAAGGAGCGCTCGCTTCTCCCTGACCACCTGCAATCCTCGGAAGATTAGCTGCACCGGACGAGAATCCAGCGGGCACACCAACTGCAGCGCTGAGCTTTCCACTCTACAATCAAACACGAAATATTGTGCATTCGATCAAGTCGCCTTTTTTCTCTCTTGTCTTCATTTCTTTTTATTAAGATCAAATTCCCAGACAACGTAATGTCTAAAATCGGGACATAAGACGTCTTAATCCTTAGCTGGCACTCTGGGGTACCAGAAGTCCCAGCGTTTTAGTGAAGTCATTCTTCGTTTTTGTTTACGTTCTCGAATTTTTTTTTCATACTCAATTTTACAATTTATCAAAATAAGCTATGACAACTTTTAAGTCGATATTCGAGAACTATTTTGGAATTTTTTCAGTGAAAAAAATCAATAGCTTCCACGTAGCAAACATTTTAGTGATTGGGGTCTCAAACGACTCAGTGTGCCAGCTATGTGATTATGGTGAAGTATGCCAGTTAAGGGTTAAAGATTATCTTTAAGATGGCTTTCAGACGATTTACGTATAAATGTCTTTAAGGCGTCTTAAAGATTATCTTTAAGACATCTTATGTCCCGATTTTAGACATTATGTTGTCTGGGTTAATATATAATTTAATTGGAAAAAGATCGTTATTAATAAATGGGAAAAATATTCGGCGTATACGTCGTATAGAGCCGCACAAATTCTTTTTTTTTTCACCTAATCTCGGCTGCGAACCTCACGTAGATCTCGAGAGTTACAGAATCGAGACTAACAACCCTGAGAATGTCAAGCTCGAGACCGAACAGGGACTCAAGTGCCGAAGACGCTTTTGTGACACTTTTTTTGATACTTTTTGTGTCAAAGACGAAATGTGAAAGAGATAGAGATAAATCGCGTACCAAGTATCATTAGGAATAGTACCTCAATAAGGCTGTGTCGGAAAACTTTACCCGAATGCACTTCGTACCGTTCGGAAACTTTCAGGTTACACCCAAATAACAACAGAGTTCATTCTCCAACTCTCTGTTTGGGTACAAAAATCTTTGGGTACTCGAGTACCCAAAGATTTTTCATCTTGAAAGTGTGCGGCCAAGTTTTGCTCTATTCAGCAAAAAGTTTTGGATCTAAATTATTTTATAATTTTTGGAGCGCTGATTTACGAATATATTGCATAATATATGCAAGTCCCAAAGTAGACCGATCGTTCAGAGAACGTTCGGAGAATGACTTATTTAAAATTGCACTCTACTAAATGGCACCACTTATTTTCACGGAATAAAAAGCTTCAACGGTGTGCATATACTTTCTGCTTCAGAAATGATTGAAATTGCTTTTCTAGCAATTCTGCTGCTTTTTTAACAATTTGCATTTTTAATGAAGGATGTACATTTTTACTCAAAGTCATCAGAATGAAAGGCATAAATTGATCCTCAAAATAAAATTCTCGACGAATAGCTCGATACCGAACGACTGAAAGCTGTCGAGCATTGAAGTTTAGACGAATCACAGGGGGTCAGAAAGACTTGTAAAAAAAGTAGCTCAGCAAAACTTCTTCGAGGAAACAGAGGGTGTACTTTACAACTCTTATAGTTGATTAAATGTAAATAGTCAAACTCTAATAGTGTTAAATATAAAATAACACACAAAAAAAGCTTTAAATTCGTTCTTTCATATTTTTCAAGTTTGTGTATATGTGTGTATGCAAGAAGTGATTATTAAAAAGATTTTAAAGATATCACTTTGAGGTTTAATATACTTATAAAAGATATATCCTCCAAAAAATGAACTTCGATGAAAATAATATTTGTAATGGTTTCTATTTTAAATGTAAGGAAAGATAGAAATTTTCGCCGAAAATGATATTATAATGTTTTAAAAGCATTTTATCAATTTTCAATTTATAATATTGCTTGTAGATCAACTGATGCATAAATTCACATAAATTAAGAAAATTTTATGTTTTTATGTTTCAAATCCATCAATGGCTCTCAATCACTTTCGCAAAGTGGAGGTGTATTTTTAATCATCCTCACTTCTTTAATGCCATCTACATGTCCATTAGATAATCTGCAATAACAAAAAATATCAGCATAATCTATAAAAATTAATAAATATTTCTAAAAAAAATCACACTTCTATCTCCATCGCTTTAGTACTTTTCTCTATTAAAATTCTTGACAACAAACATTTTTCTGATCCAACAAAGTAGTGCATCCCCTTAAAGAGCATGTTTTATACGTAGAGAGTCTGTTTATATAGTCTTTTCTTAAAGAATCTGTTTATACAGTATTTTTTTCTAATGTTACATCTTCCTGCCTCTGATTTTTTTGTATATCTAGTATGAGAATCCCGAACGATATACTTAAGGTACTATGTGTAACTCAATGACATTGCGTTTAATTTACGTTTTTCTCAACGCTATATCGATAACTAAGAAATGACACCTCGTATCTGCAGGAATGGCCATTTTCGGATTTTTAATCCAATTATTTGCTCTCTCGACTTGTTAGACACGTTTAATCTTTTTTCCTAAAAATTCTACAAAACAAACTGGAAAGTACAGAAAATAATCGATCGTTCAGAGCGAAGTGAATTTTCAGATTTCTGTCCCTCCAGGGAAAACTCCCGATTTCGCACGTACGAGGTATCACTTGTCAGCCATCGATATTCTATTTCTATAAGTGGACACAGGTCTTTATCGGTGATTTCGACGCGGGCATAAAATCTCCGCAGCATATTTTACGCAGATTCGCTATCGGTCGCTTTCATTTACGGTCCCTCGCTATTTCTTTCTCCTTTCTTTTTGTTCCCTTCGTTTACAGGATTGCAGTAAAACAGCGATGTAGACACTTCGCATACGGGACCCACGGAGTTATCGCCGGTGCTAATCGTGTTAATTACCTCTCCGCCAGATCTAGATAGCTCTACACATCTCTCACCTGGAATGCCTTCGTAGAGTAGAAAAAAGAACGGGGGGAAAAGGGAGAGAGAAGAGCACGCGTTGATTGTACGTCGCGACGATTTTATCGGGGATACGGCGCGTTGACGGAGATTAATCCGAATTTAACGTTTCGCCGAAACATTCGCGAATATCCCATAAAAGCGCGACCTCAGCCCGAGTGAATTTCGGCGGCCTAGCTCTCGTCGTGGGATATTCGTGCGTGTGTGCGCGCACAGTCGTTAAAAGAGGAGCGACGTGGGCTCTAGGCAGGCGTTTACTCAGCCCGCGCGACCACGGCCGCGAGGAACAAGCTTCATAATAACAATGACGTCTCATGGGAGTTATTCCGCGACGGCAATTAAGCCCTGGCGTGCGTTACGCCGAGAAATGGCGTTTCGCAGTGCAGGAGACCTCGTGCACGATTCCGCTGGCGGATCTTTCTCTCTCTCTCTCTTTCTCCTCACCCCACCTGTCGTCGATTAGCCTCTCTTATTTCCCAAGGCCGTCGTTTCTCGCGAGATTCATTGCGATCCTGGATGGACGTTAGGGCCACCGTTTTCTCCCAAAAAAAGAATCGCGACACAGGCCAGTAAAACGCCCAGTAGTCGGCACTCTCGCGCGGATTTTACCAAATATTAAAATGTACAATTATAAAAAAAATTGAAGAGATAATAATTAATAAATCTCCTTACACCTCTTAAGATAATTGAGCTGTGACAATAATGTTAAAAAGGTAACAGCTTTAATATCCCTTTAATACAACACGAAAATGCTCGACAAATTTGTGCTAAATGTTGATAAATAAGATTTGTTATACAATTGTTATACAATTTTGATATTATTGCAACAGAATATCAATCAGCTTATGTAATGTTGAAAAATTTATAAACATCGTTTCTTGTGCTTTAGTATATTTATGCGAGTTATGGTTGGAACTCTGCCCACGTTCGGCATATATTTATAAAAATAACACACAGAATGTCTCAGATTTGTCTCCGCAACGTTCGTGGGAACATAGAAAGGATTGAGGTGAACATAAAAGTCCTATATCGTTTTGCGATATTTGCAACAAATCTCGCATCTCTATTAATTGAAGAAAATTTGTACATTATCACGCACAATCATGTAACAATTTTTCTTAAGGTTATTTAGCCATTCTATTTTGAAAAAGATGCTTAACCAAGAGAGATGTAGCGTATGCAATATTGCCAAAGCTTTACAACTGTCATATATGTCACATATTTCAATCCGAAGTTGTGTACTTTGTATAACAATTTCTTGAAATCCACATAGTCAATAAACTTGTAATTCTTTATATTTATAAATCTCATTGTTTATCTGATTTTCATTAGGAGTGCAAGAATAGTTGGGTCGCTAGATTTAAATACATGATATAAGGAGTAGTTTTGCGATATTTATAAATAACGCTGACTTCGACTTTCTATGATCTTTATTACGGTCAATCTTGTTCTAATTCTACACGTGTATGGATCGTGTTTTCACTGACATGCTGCTAAAATCCAAAAATATGTATTATTAAGAAAATGGATTTACTGACCGACCACCTTAATGATGACAAAATTCGCGGGCAGGAGTGCCGACTAGTGAACGTGTCACCCTATTCGCGGGATAACATTCGGATAACACACGCGAGCGCGTAGTTGCGCCATCCTCTTCCTCCTCCTCTTAACCGCCCGCTATGACGAAAACATTGTTATACGGAACCTAGGCGCTTTATCGTTCCGCGTTCTCGCAGATAACGGTAACGAACCCGGCACGATAAGACACTTGCGTAAACTTGCGCGTATCGCGCACGGCGATACCGCGCGAGTCACAAACGCGCGGCAGCAACCGCCCATCGCGGCGAAACAAAAAAGGAATGGAAAAAGAGTGAAAAATCGGCACGGCGTTACACGGCCGGGACCTCCTCCGTCATCCGTGACCGCGCGACGACGGCGTGACGACGGCGCGCACGTCGTGCATGACGTGCACCCCGCGTCGTCTCGGCGCCCCTCGCTGTGAAATCGGGAAGAAACTAAGCCAAGAACGCGTGCTCGAATCGCGGCGTGTGTGCACGCGCGCGCCAAAAAAAGCAACAGTCGAGGGTCGTTGGACAACGGACTCAGATAATAAATTCCCAACATGGCGGTATCAC